CTTTTTGGAAAGTTACAAAGCCTTCAAATTGCAATTGATTATTTCTTTATGGGAGCCAGGTTTTTACCATCATGTCACTCACATATCCCATTTGTTTGTTCTCATTCTCACAAATCAGAAACTCCCTTTACTTCTGTTTAGCTAATTCATTGAAGCAGCATTTAAATAACATACCATCTAATTGAGTTATTACAAAGCTTTCAAATTGCAATTGATTATTTCTTTATGGGAGCCAGGTTTTTACCATCATGTCACTCACATATCCCATTTGTTTGTTCTCATTCTCACAAATCAGAAACTCCCTTTACTTCTGTTTAGCTAATTCATTGAAGCAGCATTTAAATAACATACCATCTAATTGAGTTATACTTTTTGGCCTGAGTAAGATGGGGAATAGGTGTTCATAATTTATTAGCAGTGATTAGTCTTAGCTGTTTCTCTCAGTCAGATATCACCACATTTTATTCATATGTAATGTACTGGTATCTTGTATTTTACTGTGGAAACATAGCTGCCCTACTGATTGTATTGAAGCGTTTTGCACATGCCATTAAATGATCTGCAGGCTTGGGACAAATGCTGGGCAAGGATTAAGCTACATGATCAAGATATATAAAATAGCAATGAGCAACTGGACAAAGTAAGCATAATGCAGTGGGTAATTCATAGTACATATAACACATTATTGCTAAAGCTATGAAACAGATGCATTTTTTCAAACAGCATATAATATGCATCAAATTTATGTGTGTGTATATTTACACACGCACACACATACATAGCACACCACTCTGTTTTATAGTTCTTCTGTTATAGCCTTGTAGCATATCATCTCCAAGAATTGCTCCTGTCCAAAACAGAAAACAAAATAGGTGTGGTGTTTTTCTCTTCTTTTGAGTGGATCTGTGTTGTAAAACTGCAGTTTGCACCAGCTCTGACGCAATGGGGTAACGTACTCTAGATAGACATCATAACTCAGTAGATGTGTTAATATGCAAACTTTACTGTTCTGTGACCTCAAAGCAAAAAAAAAGAAAAAAAGAAAAAAAAGACAAGTTATAGTAAATCAGTAGCTCTTGTCCACTTTTGTAGAAAAAAATGAAAAGCCATTGTGGCAATAACAACAGTTTGTTTCAAAGCTTGTATTCTATGTTTATGCAAAAGAAAAATAATTTAAAAATGCTGTTAACTGTGACAGTGAATGACTTTGTGCTGAAATCTCAGCTATTCTATTTGAAATGAATATTGTATATATTAACTTGTACATTAATGTTTAAAAGTAGTTTTTGTTATTTTAGAGGGGGAAAAGTATTGATTGACGGGTTGCTTCTAGCACTTTAAATTATTCTAGCAATGGAATAAAAAGCCAAATGGCTTAGCTCAAATAATTAGCTATAGTTGTATAGAATGTTACTAATATAAGTTGTTTCGGAAGTTTGGACAATTTTCTGGGGAATGCTTACTGCTGTGGTAATGGAAAAGAGGATATTTTATCTCTATAATGTGCTCATGCTTTACATGGCTAAAAAAAAATACACAGCATTGTTTTCTGTCTCAATGTATAGCTCTTTACTCCTGTTAGTACAGTATATGTAGATTCAATGTTTACAGACAAAAGGAAGTGTAAATAAATTAAAATAGCTTTTTCCCTCCTTTGGTCTTCCACAGCAGTGTTATTGTCTTTGTGGGTTCACTAACTAAACAATCCTGTAATGGATTTAAAATACTATAAGGTAATAGTGATATAAAGCAAATAAATATAAATACATGTAATTAAACTTGACTTGGGCTTTATTTAGACACACGAGTATTTTGTAAATAACACTCAGGTTGTAAGTACTCAATCATAGCCAAAACACTATCCAAAGATAGGAGAAGTAGCAAAAGTATGACAGAACTTCAAGGTTTACAGAAGTTTAAAAAAAATCTGTTTAAGAAGGATCCCTAGATGCTTCTATTACTCCAGTGAATGAAGAAAAGCATGGCAGACTAAAAAGCGAACAGGAGCTTTCCACTATGGATCAGTCTGTCAGAGATCTCACTTTGTATATTAAAGGAAGCTCTAAGCATTGTCTTCATCTTGCTAGGTGCCAATCATTAGCCTATTAATTGGCTAATAGAGTAAGCCAGGTACTAGAGTATGATGGAAAGGTGGTTTAGGCACCTTATTCTTCTAGCTGTAGCTGTTAAATATAGTAGATATGTACACAGAGAGGTAAGGTCAGGGGGAAAGATCCTCTTACACTTTTTCCTACCTATAATTCCTTTTATGTCTAATGTTGGCTGCTTCCATTTCTGTATCAAAAATCCTGTCAATTCTTTGTGTAGCAAAGTGTATTGTATCATTCAGTTGTTCTGGTTTGGAAAACTATGACTTTATATTTAAATACCTTAATAGTCTTGAAGCAAACGCAGTTCTGTGATCACACTAAAAATAAGGTTTCTTATAAGGAATTGGATGTTTCTAGATACTATTACAGAGCTGTTTATTAGTAGTTGGTATACACACTTTGAAATGTGGTGTTGGAGTTGCTGCTAAAATGTTCAATGAAGCTGTATAAAAAGTTCAATGTATAATACAGACTGCCATTTACTAGGGAGGGAGAACCCATAATTTTTGTCTCAACTTTACCCATCTCTCCTTCCTTCCAGTAAGAAAAATCAAGCGAGCTACTGCAGCTATAGAATAGGATAAGAATCCTTAAGCTTCAGGGAACCTTAAAATCTTACAAATGTTGATCCAGAAAAGAATAATAGGTTATTGTCTTGGCATAAAAAAAACCCTTTTCCATCCCTAAAGAGCCATTAAATATATTTAATTCTCTTTCATTCATCCCTTTGTATCAACTGAATTTGCAATGCATTTGTGTTTCACGTCTTGTTAATATAAATGAACCAATAAGATTTTGAAATGGATCACATTCCTGTATTTGACAGAAACAGTTAATATCTGTAGCTTAATTTAGGCCAACTAATGGTGTAATCTGTAGTCAGTGAACATTCATAATACAGATCTTGAAAATAATTAGCAGACATAAACCTGAAAATAACACCTTTGTCCTAGGAAAGCAAGGTTTTTTAAATTACATTTTTTCAAACATTTTGCCTACAAGCTTGGTGGTTAAGTCAAACTTTTATTCTCAGTCTATGAATGCAGGATACTTTATTCATTAGATGTAAAATGTTATTGCTTATAACAAACTCTCATTATAATCCCATTAATATTTCACAGTGTTTAACATTTTTGTACATGATTTCTTGCAAAAATCCTATTTGATACCGGACTGAAAAGTGTTCAAAAAGCTATATATACATGCATGCACGTATACTGGTATTTGTGTGCTTAGCAACCCTTAGAATAAATTTACCATTGTCTTGACACAAAATCCTATGTTTTTCTTCTGTAAGAAGATGCAAGATCTTTCACTTTGAAAGATAACACGCCATGTGAAAATACAATCCTTTCCAACAACTGATAGCAGTAAGAAAACAATGTAGTTCATCTAATGCTGGGACCCCCAGTTGGCTCCCAAGAACACCTTGCTTAATGTCTGCCAGGCTCTTCAGCTAGTAACTTTACATTTTTAATTTTTTTTTAAAAAAAACGGGAAGGTATATTGCAGTGCAAAATGGCATCCAGTATCATCATCAATCCTAGGAGATAAAAATGTCATTCAATTGTAACCGAGTGTCCTGTTCAGAAAAAATGGGATATAAATTTTATTCTGTATGAGTCGGTGCCAGAGAAGGTGATAGATTCAGTAAATTAATGATTTACCTTTGGGTATGTCCCCATGGCAGCCATTTTGAGAACAGGCAATCTGTGAACACCAACAAGTTTGGAAAAAAATCCAGTGTGCCCACCAACTCAAAAAAATTGGGGATTCCTTATCTAAAGGCTATTTTATAGATCTTTCAAGTAATGGCAATCAGATTCATAAAAACAAGGGTCAATATTATAACTTCACATGTCCCAAGTACCTCACCACGTTTTAAAGCAGATTTAATGAGCTCATATTCTCAAAACACTTTGCATTTCTGAAACATGGGTATCTGACATTATTAATTATAATTGTAAGGAGAGTATGTGTACTTACAGTATGTTCCACAGCATTTAGACTCTGTGTATAAGGAAGAAGATGGGGGAAGCCATTGTTGCCTTGAAAATTACATGTTCCTAAGCTTTCAGGAGCTGAACTCAAAGACTTTATATACACACACACTTCCCTGCATAGGAGCATACTTTGGTATACAACAGAAGCAGCAGCAAGTTTTTACTTGTATAGCATTAATGTCATAATAAACCAGATTAAAAAATACAAAATCAACTGAAAAAATATTTAGTATATATAAAATGTCTAGAGTCCTGGATAAAATATTGAAGGGAAGGTATGCCATAAACTTTCAGTTCAGCTACATCAACTGGCTTAATGTTAAGTATCCATATATGAATGTTATTTCCAAATTAGAAGTAACCTTCTTGCATTCAGTTGGCCTCCAAGGAATCCAAAAGGATTGCTAAGGGTACACTACATCTAAGTCCTAAAAAAGAGATCCATTAGCCTGACCAATGCTGTTTTCATCCCAGGTACAGGTCTCAATCCTGACTGAAAAGGATTGAGATAATCTGCTCTGTAGCTGCTCCTGTCTCCATATCCACAACCTTCCACAGGAAGGAAAGATTGGAGATGGGGTGATGGTTGTCAAAACTGGTTGGATCTAGGGAGAGCTTCTTTTCAGACCAGAGCACACCAGAGCCTCTTCAGTGCCTAAGTGACCACCCTTTTTCAGTGACTACTTCCCTCTTTCATCCAGTTGTCTTCCCATCTGCCTCTCCAAAGGAATCAAGTGGGTCACAGATGGTGCCTACACCTATCCGCTTCATCAGACTCCATAGGCCAAAAAGAGTCCCAGCGAACATCTGAAGACATCATCCAAGTCACGTCAGGCCCTACTCAATATGGAAGCAAATCTAAGCAATTGTTGGCAAGGTGCTATCCAAAATGGTCACGGAACAGGGAGATTATCTACTTCACAAGTTTTCCCTTAAAGGAATTCACTACCCTAAACAAGGCCACTAGCTTAGCAACCCATCAGCACAATAAGGAGAAGTATGAATATGTCACCTTTCTTCCTGGTAGGAAAAGTAGGGTTGAACTTGGGCTGGTATATATGTTTGGTCAGGTTCACTTTTTGTCTTTCTCCACAGATGCTCTAAGCTTCTTGACTGTCCTTTTATCTCCTGGAGGTCCTCAGTAAGCAAGGAGTGATCTGGGATTGATGAACTTAGGGACCAATCACATCAACAGCCTCAGTTGCCTCATGTTCCCAGTGCTAACCAGGCAATCAATAGAACTGTCTACCAGATCTCCCAAGTGTCTAATAACTTCATCTGGATCCATAAGGCAGCTGAAATGGACCATTTCATGCTCTTACATAGAAATCTTACCAAGCATAGTTAAATCACATGATCCTGGCTGAACAATTATGTACTTGATAATAATATGAAGATGGGATAATATGGAGATACTATTGTTAAGTAATTCATATATAGGAAGTTCTGCCTACTGATGAAAGCTCTGATGACTCTGTTGGTCTTTGTGATAAACCCTTTGATAAAACTATCTTGATTACAGGATGCTCTTTGGCTTATCCTATGGGGGAAAAAAGACCTTATTCTAACAAAGTTATTAGAACAGCATCATCCCGGCCTTGCCACAACATTTCTCCCTTGAAGTCTAACATCCCATGTTTTCTGGCTCTCATGAGTATTCCAACCACTTTATCTGAAATATGAACATATCTTTCAAAGAGATCACCAAAAGTGACTTGGATCTTGCCATCACGTCGGGGCTGAGCCATTGTTCTGATGATGAAACACAGGTCTCTCATCTCCCGGTGGATATGGTCCTCTGCTCTCTTGGCCCGTTCTGCTGTTTTTGTGCCTTCTTTAGGATAGCCATAGCCCTCGTCTCCTTTACGCAAACGGGTGGCCATAGCAAGCTCATAGTCGAACTCTTCACTGAAAGGGTTGAGTTTTTGTATTGTCACATGCTCATCAGCCCATTCTTCCCATCGCCCCTTTAGAGTGTAGACAGGGCTATAATTCTTAGACAACTTGATGTTTCTATTTTTACTGCAGAAAAAGGGGAAAAGAGACAGCTGCTGAACAGGATTATGCTTCAGTGAAATATTTTAGTAGAGTTCATCATCTGATTTAGACCACAAACCACTAGGTGGCATGTTATCACTAATATAAATCACTTTATTTCCTTAGACTCTGTTTGCTGCCTCTTAATCTGAAAATAAAAGCTTCCATTTTGGATTAGATCCTTTCATTTAAATTTTTATGAGGAAAAATAACACCACTCTCATTAATTTCATTTGCATGGCATGATCTGTTAAAAGGATTGAAGTCAGAACAGATTGGATCCCTGGTCCATCTAGTCCAGCATTCTGTTCTCACAGTGGCCAGCCAACTGCACAAGGAAACCCACTAGTCTCCCAGCAGATGGCCTTCATAAGGAGTTCCACTGCCATCAAGACTAATAGCCATTGATCCCCATGATGTCCATTAAATGGTCCAAGCCTGTTTTGAAGACAGCCAAGCTGGTAGCCAGCACCACATCTCATGGCAGTGAATTCCAAAGTTGAATTACTGTCTGTGTAAAAAAAAAAAAAAAAATCCTTTTATCCATCCTGATTCTTCCAGGATTCAACTTCATTGGGTGGCCTCAGGTTCTCCGCACTTTATCCACTCCATGCATAATTTTATACACCTCAATCATGCCCCCTCTCATTCACCTCCTTTCTAAATTAAAAAGCCCAAATGTCACAGCCTTTCCTTATCAGGAAACTGTTCCAGCCCCTTGATCATCTTAGTTGTTCTCAAAATCTTCTGTAATTCCACTATATCCTTTTAGAGGTATGGCATCTAGAAGGATAAAGATGCATTAAAGCATTAAAACAGCCGCATCTTTTGGAAAGCTCAGCACAGCTTCTTCAAAGGCTTTCCCTAGGTACATTTTGGTGTGCATATAGTCCTTTCACTTCTCTGGCTATGCTGCTGGAAGGGTCTTCAAAGAAGATGATGAATTAAAATTTCTGGTAGCAAATTACAAGAGATATTAGAGTAATGCATGCTTTAAAATAATTGGGAAACCTTGTTTGGAGCTTACACTGCTATTCATTGAAGCAGACTATTACGTTTTTTAGGCTTCAGCGTGTGCCTAAAAATATGTGGCTGCTTTAAAAGTTATATTAATTTTAATGAGTTGACTGCTTAAAGGAGCAGAAGCCAAACAACAAAAAAGGATAGGACTAAAAATGAGTCATTACTGTTATGCAAAAACAGCACTGAAAAAAAAGTATAAATCCTACACATGTCTGTCTATACTTTATCAACTTTTCTTTTTGGTTCAGTCTTAGACTTTGGGAGCATTGAGCCTGAATTCTTAGATCTGGTCTGACACAGTCTGTATCTTAAGAAACTTACTTGTCTGAGAGCCTTCAGCCAAGACTGAGAAGAAAGAAACTTCTTACTTCCTCTTCTCCTGATTCCCATCCCCTGATTCTCATTGGAAGGGAACAGTAGCTGTGTTTATGGAATACTTAAGAATCACTAGCTAACCTACAGACATCTCAATCTATTACTTTTGCAAAATTAATTTTTAGGACTGCTAGACAGTATGAAGGTTCTATGGTATTTAGGTACAATAAGATGATCAAAGTAGTTTAAGGTTATTCAGTTGGTTCCCTAACTCAATTTCAGTGTTGATTCTTCTACAGTGGTACCTCGGGATACGAACGCCTCTACTAACGGACGTTTCGGGTTACGACCAGCTTCGGCAGGAA